CTACACTGCAGGGTGTACTGCTGATTCTCAAACATCATCTCAGTGTGGTTTACAAAGCTGATGGAGACACTTTCTGGAGGCTCTGAGAAGACAGGGAAAGAAACAAAAGTGTAAAGAACAACATAGAATGTAAGCTAGAGGTTGGTCTGCAGCAGCTGAGAGTATGAATCCATGCAACTGTATGTTTCCACAAATAAAGAAGTTTAATTAATCTATGAATTAATAAATATAATAATAAGGTTATAAAGCAATTATCACTTTAGAATTATAACTAATTATAAGTGATGTAAAATTCACTAATGAGTCTCCTGTTATAAAGTAAACATACTTACGATAAAGAGTTGGATTCAGAATGCTAGTACACTGATTACTGGTATAAAAGCACAGTAGAGGTATTTCCCATTCAGTCAGTCTGTCAACTGTCCAGAACATCGTGGTTCCATTTTTTGTAACTTTTCCCACAGCGTGCTCCAAATCAAAGACATCTCCACTGCAGTTCTTCTGACATACAACACATGTAACATTGGCTGGGTCACCGTACTTCACTACCAGCGCAGATGGAGTGAACACAGGATCCTCTGTGCAGCTAGAACCTGTAAGAAACACATCCAGTGTTGTTATTTGGTAGATTAGCAGATACACTTCATACACAGTGTGCACTATTTTAGTCAGACATTACTGTATATTTTGTATCTTGTAAAAGGTTTTGCAACCCAATAAAATCGTTGTACATTATATGGCTCTGCTGTTCTCTGTGTGTATATGTTAATTTAAAATCAAACACAAAATTAATCAGCAAGATTATACAAGTAGATTCAACTTTTCAATTGATATCAGAGCATTTTGCACAAGGTTTATATAATAACAATAATAATAATGACAATAACAATAACAATAACAATAATAATAATAATAATAATAATAATAAGCATTAAGAAAGGAGAGAGACGTTTGCATAGATACACACTCTGGTGACAAATTAAAGGAAAAATTTGAACAGTTGAACCCTGCAGTGGGAAGTTTTGGCCCTTATGTGCATCTTTGGGGTATTTTCCTTGAGGCACAGTCAGAGCAAATCAATCATAAAGTTGTTCTGAGTGATCACGTCGATCCTGTTCTATCCTAATTGGTCTCTTCTAGGATGTCAGCACTTTCATAAAGTGTGAGTTAAACCAACATCAGTTAAACCAACATCAGTTAAACCAATCAGAGACCCGGGTCTCTGATTGGTTTAATGACTATAAACAAAATCATGTAAATTATATGCTACAGACCTCGCGGTCACTATAGATCTCAAATCAGTTTAACCAGTGTGGGTTAGCCTGATCAGATCCAGATATGTGAAAAAGAGTAACTGTAACTGTGCAGGTTACAGGCTACTGTAGTTTATTTGAATGGAGTTTTCCCAAGTCTCCTGCTAAGCAAATATATTCATCACAAATGGAAAATGTCTGACAGTCTTTGTAGGAAAGCTACTTTCGGCTACTCCCAACAACAGATCACCACAGCGGGAAGCTTGATGAAGTTTGATGTGGCAGATTTTTAGGTCAGATGCCATCCTGCACAGTCCCAAATGGATCAAAGCGGAGAACTTGTAAATCCCTACGCCATGGAGCCACTTTGTAATACATTTTTATCGCTCTAGTTTATACACTGTCTGGTTTCTCAGCCACCACCAAAACAGCAAACGAATGAACAGCTTTAGGAAGAATGTTTTTCCAATGGTAGAGGAGATTTTGGAGGTCGATTCTAAGAAGCACTTAAGCTTTGCTAGTAAAACTTTATGTTGATTTCTTTTATTTTTTCCCCCCATTTATTTAATAACATGAGACATAATGAAGTAATTAAATCTCTAAGTCTCATAATAAAAACACGAAGCGTCAAACTGTTGTATTACTTTGAAGCAGCAACACTCTACCGTACCAAGTACGGGGAAAAACTGAGCACAACAGATAACGGGACACTTACTAGAGGCGGACACGCGGACGTCTCGGCAGGAGATCATCAAAGAAATAACGAGGAAAAGGTAACAGGAAAGCATCGTGTCCAGATAGTTTCGTTGGGAAAACGAAAAAAAAAAACGTTTGTTAATAAAAAATCTCCGAGCCCAAAGTTTGTTGGCCAGATGGTGTCTGTAATGAACTGAGAGCAGAAAAGATAGCAACATGGAGGTCCACGCTCCTTTATAGCTGTGGGCGGGGATCAGCGGGCTGGTTTTCTCTTTGGCAAAGTGAAATCGAAAACATCCATCCGGGAAATCTGAGTTTTCGGGGAAATCCCATTAAGAAAAATAAGCGATGAGTTCATGTCAGCCTCATAGCATCTGAGTGATAAATTCTAAAATGTGCTTTCTTAAAGGTCAGACAATAAAAGTCTGCAGCGTTTTGCTTTTAAATGTATAAATTAGAAATATTTCAATAAACTCAAAAACTTCAGCAAATATACTTTATGTCCCTTCTTGCTGGTCTGCACACACAAATGCTGAGTCCTAGTTATTTCAGTGAAGCAGATTTCCCTCATCTCTTTCCTGTGAAGCCTTCCTCCAGGACAAAGTCGTGCTCAGGACCAGCTCTCAACTGCTAAGACTGAAGCATTAAAACCCCTTTAGCCTGTCTTCCTATCTGTTTCATTCCTTCACACTTCAAATGATCTACAACCTTGTTTAGTCACTCTTCCTTAGTTATTTTTAGTCTGTTTATTCTCGCTCCCCCTTGCTCCAGCTTGAAGTCATAAGAGGCACAGCTACATATCAGAATATCTGGAAGCGCAGCAGCAGAGCCACACGAGTGAAACAGAGAGACCAAGCCATCTGAAGAAAACTTGTCATTCATTCATGTCATTCATTTGAGTCAGGGACAAAAGTTTCATGATCATAAAAACACAGTGTTGTGAAGTTTAAATCTCCCCAAATAAACTGATTTGCCACACAGACTAGATCAAACAAATGCATTTATCCATTCTCCAATTAAAAACAGATCATAATATCAGTGACATTGTCTAAAGTATACTTCTCTTTACGGCTCCCATAATATTTTTATATGTAACAGTAAAATGGAACAAGTGTTAGTGAAAAGGCTTTTGACTCGGGGGTCACTGGTAATCGTGCTGAGCCTTAAGGAGTGTAAAGACAGTTTACATTCCCAACATGCTTCTGTGTTTACTAAAATCTTGCCTCCCTTTGCTTTTTGGACTCATTTTAATGCTTTGGTTTTCATTTTTTGAGGCAGATACAAAAATGTTGGTTGTGAGCCAACCACTGAAACCATGGCAACATTACATGAGGAAATTCTGAAGGTGTTAGTCATTTCTAAAATGTTTTCAAGTCATGCTGTTGGTATAGTATGAGCTACAATTTGTTATTCACACCAAACATCATTTTTAATATTAATCTAAGTAAAAGCACTGATATGAATCTGTAAAACGTTTGTGCTACAGACACTAAGGCATGTAATATGTTACTCAAGTAAAATGTTTTAACTAGAAGTAGACAAATGAACTTAAAGTAGTAACACAGAAGCTCTCAATGAAAAAAATGCTGGCTAATGATGGAATTTGCTGTTGTAAGGGTTTCATCCCAGATTCCAGTTGTTTAGCTTCATTTTAGATTTATCTTCATGATGTTTGCTATTGTATGTAAAATGTGCTATTTAAATAGAGTGGACATGAACTGAACATTGGTTGGTTGGTTGTGAAACACGTGGATTTTATTTGATCATCAAAAAAGAATCAAAATAGTTTTAGAAAAAGAAAATCGTAGTTCTGAGCCATTAATGGAAGTAAACTCAGGCTAAATAAAAACAGCAAAACACAACAAACCAACAGCTTCAACAAAACCTACAAATTAGGTTTGGACAAAACTGAAGTGGCAAAAAGTGACCTAACAGAGGTCAAAAGGAAATACAAGCAAACACTAAGAAATGATCTGAATACAAAGAAACTAAACCACTTTTACTTTTCATTAATCACTTCCAACATAACTAAATACTGGATTAAATGTCAAATGAGATCAACTATATACTTAAAAGAGACCACTGCTGTCATCACCTCATGGTCTGAGGACACTTGACACATTCCAGTCTGAACTTCCTGTGATTGTGAGCGCAGCTTTCCAGCAACCCTGGCAACAATGGTGATTCAAAATGGATGGTTAATGGTTTGACTGGACCAGGATGGTGTCTCAGGCAAAGTGAAATTGAAAACATCCATC